AGTCCTCAACTGATGTAAGGTGGGACAATATTAGCTATTTGCTTATTTCCGAAGGATGTTTCTTTATTAAAAAGTGAGCTGAAATGTTTAAAAATTAAAAAGTACAAAAAATGCAGATATTCTTCTTACAGATCTGTCTTTGTCTTTTCCACAGGTAAAAAAAGCAAAAGAAAACAAAGCCAAAGAAAGAAAAAGAAGAAGGAGATTGAAAAAGAGCAGCCGGAGCCAAATGAACATGAAGCCGTGAACACAGAGAAAGAAGACAAGGCAGAGGACGTGCCGGTGAAGGGTGACATCAGCAAACCCGTGGAGAAGAAATCTTTTAGCACTGCCCTTGAGCCAAGTATTTATTTCAGTGACGATGATGAGGACATGAATGTGAACTTTGACATCGACATAGACACAGATGACGACGATGATAGAAATGAGGAGATTGCTGCAGACGGTCGCTCGAACAGCTCAGGTACAAAGCCCAGTGTACTGGATGAAGATGCAACAACAGAAGTCAAGAAGAGCAACAAGGATGATGACGGAGAGCAGAAAAATACGTCTCCAGACGAGCACAGTGCTGATGAAGAGCTCGCAGAGGCAATGGATATCGACACAGAGAACCATGTGGAGGAGGACTATGATGAAGATGATGACTGGATGGACGTGGACAGTAATGCTTCTGCTCCCACTTTAAATAAAGGTAAATTAAATCTGGTGGAAAAAAATGGGTTCATGTCCTGTTAACTGGGAACTGTGGAGAGGTTTGACCCACTAAAGTGGAAATGTGTTTTACTAGTCACAGAAAAGAAGACCAACCTATCGGTGCCCATGGCTCTGATGAAAGAAGTGAAGATAGTTATCCCAAAACTAGACATCGTGAGTCCAGTTTGTTGTTATGTTTTACAACCTGCTGAAAATGACACTTTTAAAAAGTTGAACAAATGTGAGGTCTGTAAGCATCGCTGCATTCTTTACAAACTACTCTTTAAATGTAGGGGAAGGTGCAGCATCCCATCCACATTTCCCAGTTGTCATCTTTGAGTAACAAGCAGCCGGTGGAAGATAAACCCGTCCATGATGACAAGAAACAGAGTGCAAGACCTACTCCACTGACAGAGGTCACAAACAAGCCCAGCTCTGAAAAGGTAGGAAAACTTTCTTCTCTTCCAATGAAGTAGAATTTGTCT